CGATGTGAGAAGTGACTTGATGGCCTGAGAGCCTCAACCAATATGCAGTCACTCCCAGGTCCCCTTGAGCACGTAACACTTACTGGTTGGGTGTCTCTGTCTGGGAACCTAAGGAGTCGACATCCTCGATTCTCGAAGTCCTCCCTCATACTGTATGCTGTTGTTGTTGTTTTTTTGCATAAATACACATGTTACATATATATTTCATCTTTGGTTCTTTTTCAAAGAAAACATTTTAAGTATAGAATATCTTGTATATGTGTATATAATATTAATTCTTGCAAGCCAGACGCATTTTCCCCAAATAATACAAGGATAATAATAATCTCTCCTCACTAATGTTAGTTACAGTATTCAATCCTTCATCATCCTGCCTAAACCTCATTCACTGCCAGGTACTCAATCATTCACCATTGTAAGCAGTTGCGATAACTATTGGAATATCAAATACTCAGTTATTCATTAGCCAAGTAGCCCATTATAACTATGAGTACTCTTTGATTAACTTGATACTAACCTCTTACTCATAGTTCTCTATAAATACCCCCCCCCCTCCCCTCCAGGGTCTACACTGGCTGTAATCCTGGACATGTCTAACACTGTTTCCATCGTGGTGTCGGCTGCTATCGCTGTGGTCTACACACTCTTCGGCGGACTCTACTCCGTTGCCTACACTGACGTTGTCCAGCTCTTCTGCATCTTTATAGGTCTGGTGAGTTAACAACATGCTCAGATAGTTGAGTAGTTGGCCATTTTTCATCTTCTGATTTCATGCAAGTCATCACTCCAGAAATAAATAACTTTATGTTCTATAGAGTTTTGTGAGAACTTGTTGTGGCTCATTGTGGACGATATTATTTTTTTTCAGCTTGAAATTTGTGTGATTACTTTGACACTAAATACGTTGTAATTAAGGCAAGGAATGGGAATATGTTACTTGATGATTTTCATAGGAAGTTTGATAATGGCGGCACTTCTGTGCCGCCATTATCTTCAATCTCCATTGCTTAGTCGTCAAATAGTTTCAGAGTCCAGTTGAAGATTTCCCAAGTCGAATGGTTAATTCATAGTCATGCGCGGCAGGGCTTAAGAACTGCAAATCTCCATAGGAAATGCTCACTTATTGGCAGTTATTGTTTTTATGTTTCAACTTTATTCAATTCCCTGATGCCTGTTAACTCCATTATTTGCTTACCCAATCATTCCACTCCAGCCTTAACTTTAAAAGAAAAGACATGATTTTCATTGAACACTTCTAAAAAAATAAAAAAAATCGTAATGTTGACAATATTTATTAAGAGCTGCCATTTTTGCGGAAAAAAATGAAGAAAACGGACGTCCGTTTATGTGTCTGTGCTTGTGAAATATCACAGCGAAATCTTCAGAGTTCGATAATATAATCGTTGTTTTCGATCCTTATTTTGGAGCTTATTACCTCTCTTGTATTCCAGTGTGTGTGTGTGTGAAACGCGAATGTAATAACTAGATATAAGAATGGACTTACAGTAGATGAATGCGAATATAATAAAAAAATATATATATATTATATGCACTCGATAAACATTCTTCTTTGTTCTTACAGTATCTTATGTACAAGCTACCGCTTTTGTTTTTTGGTGCCTCTGTGCTTCCAAAATGTATGTCAACGAATTTCGAGGCAACTTAATTCATATGAAGTTTTCAGATGAGTATGGTAATATATTTGTCAAATCTATTTATTATCCTCCATGGTTGTCTCATATCGGTTTATGCACTCAAGTTATACATCTCGTAAATCGAACAAATATTTATTTTTTTTAATCGGTATTTACTTGTCTTACAGCAAGATCGCAAGTGAGTTTAATAATTAATTAGTGTTTTTGGCATTTATTGCCCATACTTATGACCTCCTGGGTTTATTGTGCCGTGTTGGGCATTTTAACCAAAATAGTGAAATGTGATATTCAGTGGAATGCCCGAGTTCTTCAGAGTATTTATTTATCTATTTATATGAAGCCGTTGGGCATCAGTTTAAAATCTTACAAGATAGGTTGTAATGACAATATACTGTTAGACTTTTGTTTCTCAACCAATCCTGAAGGAGGATGAACGAATGATTCATCACATCTGGAGACACTTGGAATTTCAGTCCACCGAATTAAAAAAAATGCAAAAAATTAAATGAGGATGCTTTAAGAATTGAAAAGGCTCGAGACCAATGCAGGATTTCATAATTTCTTCTTAAAAATCCATTCATGAGCTTCCTCCTGTTCTATTCAGACTATTTAGACTGATTCTTTGCACTTCAGCCATCATCCCTTAATGGAAAAATGTTAATCACCAAAAATGATACAGACTTCCCCCCTCTGTTTAATAAATTGATGTGTTCCTGAAAATTGTCATGCATTTCAAAATTACTTATGAGCATTTATCCATAGACAAATTACCTAACTGACCCAAATATATGATAAACCTACACTAAAAAATGCACCACACATATCTATCAATATTACTATTATTATTTTACTGTATATTGTCGAAAAAATTTAGAATTATTAACTCATTATATCCAAAAGCTAAGAGTTGAGTATAATAGCGAACGAAAGAAAATACTACCGAGTGATCGTTAGCTGTCTGTTTCTCCTCAGAGTCAACGATATCCTTTATTTTACTTACAAATATTCATGGCTCTTGAAGCCGCTCGAGAAATTTGGTATCCTTAATAGATACAATGATATGATTTGTTTTTAATAAATTTTTCTTGTAAAGTATGAGTATACGTACTGAACAATCACGTTAATGAGTTACATACTACAGTACACCCCTGTGGTAACTTCCATCTACATCTGGCAATGTTGCAGTAGTAGCATAAATATTTATGGATTATTGTATTGTAATCTTGTAATGACGGAGCTGAGTTGTAGATACGTTTTCTATACTTAATTTCAATCGGTGTTAGTCATAATCAGTATGTGAATACTTATATGAATGAAGTCTTTCACATTATCTACGCGAAGTTGACCAAATGTTTGCCGAGTAATTGTTAAATATTGATAAAAATACGGTCAGAAATAAAACAACGAGAATCTATATAATTTTTCACTCATGATTTATTTGTTAAATTTTGTATTTTTTATGGTTATTATTTTTATTAGTTTTATAATTTTATTTGTATTAATTTGTTAATAATTTTATTAGTTATAATAATAATAATAATAATAATAATAATAATAATAATAATAATAATAATAATAGATATTATTATTATTATTATAATTATTATTTATTATATTTTCGCCCCCCAGGCCCTGATGTGGGTCATTACCTGTGCCCGGGTGGGCTATTGCCCGTAAAAAAAAAAAAATACGTGAGGTGTTACTCCAAATAATTGCTCTTCCAATCAGTATCCAAAGCGTCCGTTATGATTTGAGGCCAATGAACGGGACCAGTCAGACACCACCCTATATAGAATACAAGCTGCTATAATAATCATATGTGTTCACTTGAAGGTTCGAGTGGAGCTGTTTATATAGCCATAGTTGAGCATGCTCAAATTCAAAGATAGGATAAAACACTTCACTTTTAACAAAACATATACTTAATAGCACTATGACAACACATATATAGACTTTGTACAACATTTACAAAAAATTGGACAGTACAAGTCGCTACAGCCACCCAGACACGGACACGTCCCCTTAGGTAGTCGTCTGGTTCTTCAGTCTACTCCTCTCGACGTGATAGTCCATTTCTGGCAGTCGTCAGGCCCTTCCACCAGTCTCCCAAAGTCAAACACTACTCCAGGACAGCCATAGCTACTGCGACCACGTAAGGCAACATCAGACTCATGAACAGGGTCGCCGGTAATATCTGCACCCAACCATAGGTTACTCCACACGGTTACGCCTCTTTGTGCCCTCGGTACCTGAAGTGGTGACCAACTGTTTCTCTGCCTCGGGTCCAGCTACTCTGGTCAGCACAGGACGATCGGCTGTCTGCTTCTCCTTCCCCACACCGCGTCGACCTCGCGAAAACGAATTTGTTGCTGCGTTTCTTGGGAAACAAATTCGAATTAAGGTTCGAAAAAATTAACCCCAATTACTATTTTTGTTTTTAATTTTAGTTTATTGGACACCCCCCTACATCCTGTGCAAGGTGAAGCGCAGAAGTGCTTACAGTGCCCAACTGGGAAGCATGCTAAGGTCATGCTTGCCTTTATGTCTCATGAGTTAAGGGCGTAGAAGCCTGAAGGGTCATAGGTTTTTGTCAGTAAGTTATTGGAAGCTCCAACAACTTTCCCTGAATACGAATTCGCAACTTTTAGATTTCCAACAGGTACCTACTTTACTGCTAGGTGAACAGGGACCAAGGGAGGCTAGGAAGTGTGTCCAAACAGCTTTCCACCGGCCCGGGAAGCGAACCCGTGACATCTTGCTTGCGAGGCAAGAGCGGTACCGCTCTACCACCGGCGACCCAAAATTACCATTTTTGTATCCCAATGATTTTAACACGTTTATCAATTAAACAAATTCGGTTACTTTGTTGCGGTCAGCTGTCAGATTCGTGGTTTGGTGGTGAATGGTGCTAGTGTAGTAACCAGACTTGCACAAGTATGTTGTTTATTTATGCTTTTCTTGTTTTTTCCTATATTCAGTATTCTTGGCTGATATCCTAATTACCTCACTAAATGGTCAAATTACCCCAATCGGATAATTCATCCCTACTTTGGGAACCACAAGGTTAAGTAATATAGTATTATATCGAATATAAATCAAACAGTATATTAATGGAAATATGCAAACATATCTGATAAACCAGTCGAACAAGAGAGAGAAAGGGAGAGAGAGAGAGAGAGACAGATGTCCCAATCGATGTCAAAACTGGTGGCGAATACTTAAGTAGGATAAAATTTATTCTATCTGAAGATCTGAATATTAAAATGAATTTAGAAAGGGGAACGGAAATAAAAATAGCATATTTAGTTTGAGAATTTTGGGCGAAAGAGCTTTAGAGGTCCAAAGAAATTTGTATTTCTGTTATGTTGTCATAGAAAAAACTTTTGATTAGGTAAAAGCCTATAAACTTAGAGAGGTTTTCGATGTAAAAATAGGCATTACTGAAGGAGATAATATAATTCTAAATAAAAAGATGCAGTGTTCGTACATATTGAACTTACTAATTGGTTCAAAGTTAGACAGGCAGAATTTTTAATAAGATAAGTTATGTGACAATGATGGAATAAAAGTTAATGATAAAGTAATGTCAAATATACGCTATTGAAAGTTACTAGTGTGCCCTGAAGAATGCAGTGATGGCTAGGGAAACACTGAGTAACACTGAGTCCGTTTATTATGGATGAGAGAAATACAAGTGGTGACTCGCGTGTGCCATGCACGGCTCACACAGTCAGACTGAAGCTGCCTTGCCATATGGCAGCCTCGGGGCAATGTTGCCACATAACACGTGCAGTGTTGCCACGTGATTATATATATAAATGCTACTCGGCACAGTAGCTTATGTACAGGGTTGCTACTCGGCACAGTAGCTTATATACATAACCTACATCTCCTTCCCCCCTCACGCTCATAGTCTTTGTCTTGAGCGGACTTCTTAGTCCTAAGTCGCTCCGAGCGTCGAGGTGCACTGTGGGGCGGATCCTCGTGAGGTGTAGGTGACTCGTCCTCGGTCAGGGGGCCAGCAGCAGGGGGTGGGACTGGCCGGAGGAAGCGGCGG